TATTAGTATTAGAGAACTATCTTTATACACTGAAGTTAGACGCTATCTAATTTTTGTTTCACTTGTGGTTTATAAAAACTGTGTTGTTATTTAATAAAATTGGTTTTATAAAATTGAATAGATATGCAATTGCTTCTGGTGCATTGAAAAATGGTTAATATACTATAATCACAAACTCTTAAAGATTTGCAGGATGTAGAAACTAATGTTACATCTTCTAGATTGAATGTTAAGAGAAAAATTGTTATTCCTGACTCATTGTATTTTTAGCATCTATTTTTGGGTTGTAATCAGTCAAAATGAGATTCAAAGATTGGTCAAAGAAGGTTAATTTCCTAGTGAGGCAGAGGAGCCTAAACCAAACTTGTGAACCTTGATTTGAAGGATAGATAACTCTTAGAGCTTAATCAGCCAGATGAAATAGACATAAAGGACAATTGGAGTCGGTACACACTGACACGTGTGGTCTTATGAACATCCAAGCAAGATTACTCACGTTTTGGATAAATTTACCTGTTACGACACAAGTCTTATACTTTTGGTATATTCTGAGAGGGTCAAGACTGATGTGGAGCACAGATTAGGTAAACTTATCAAGACACTTCGATCTGATCGAGGATATGAGTATTTCTTGGGATAGTGCAAAGACTATATGGTCAATGAGGGTGTTGTGTACCAGTTTTCCGCAATTGACGCTAAATGCATTTAGGTATCAAATAGGAATAACAGAATTCCACTTAACATTGTTAGATCTATGATCAGTTATGCCACATTATCTCTTTCATTTAAGAGTTTAGCGTTAATGACATCGATGCGCATTATGAACTGCATTCCATCTTAGTCTGTCTCAAGGATACCGTTGAGCTGTGTTTTTGACTAAATCTTAGTTTAAATCACATGCACATATGGGGTAGTCTTGCACATATGCGCTTGATATGGACAAATAAGTTGGAAACAGATCATACGCATGATAAATTTGATAGCTACTCTAAAGGTCACTAGGACGGATTATTTTATGATCTCAATGATAAAAGTTGATTGTTTACACTCACTATTTATCTATAGGAGAATCATATTATGAATCATATACCTAGTAGCATAGTGTTAGAGAATATGAAATGAGTACCAGATGTACCACATATGAACACACTTATTATAATAGAGATTGAGAATAATAAATGAATTCCCTATTGATACGTCCGCATTATCTAGTACACAGATTCTTGCATCGGTACATTAATGTAGTGGGAGGATTATTATCCAATCCGACAGAATCATGTTTTTAGGTGAGACCATTATGGACATCCCTGTTAAACATGAGTTGGACCCAGTAAGCTACACGGAAGCGTGAACCGATATGGATACAGATCGTTTTGGCAAGTTACTATGAAATCAGAGTTGGAATCTATGTATTCTAATAAATTCTGGGATCTTGTAGAACTTTCTAGTAGGGTGATTCCTATGAAAGGCAAGTTAATCTACAAAAAGATACTAGAAGATTTTTTAGTGAATAAATCATGAGTGTACAAGGGAATGTCATTATTTTTCTGATTCTATATTTATATATGACATCCTACTCATTTAGAATGATGTGGAAGTTTTGTCATCAATAAAGAGGTAGTTGTTCAATTACTTTTAAATGAAGGATTTTCAAGATGTAAGCTATATTCCCAGGATCAAGCTTTTGCAAGATCAGGTTAAAAGGAAAATAGGCTTATCTTAATAATCCTACATTGGAAAAGTTTTGACCAGGTTTGGTATGCATAACTCAAAGAATGAGTTCTTGCTTTCTTGATATGGATTGCTCTCTCTAGTAAGTAGTTTTCCAAGACTAGCAGAGGAGATTGAGCAAATGAAACTGGAACTATATGTTTTGGCATATGTGAGTCTCATATATGCCATGGTCTATACCGAACAGGACATCCGCTACATTGTAGGGATAGTCAGATGATATCAGTCCAATCCTGGACTTGGTAACTGGTCTGTTGTGAAAAATATCATTAAGTACCTAAGGAGAACCAATGATATCATACTCATTTATGGATGTGATGATATGGTCCTAGTCAGGTATCCTAGTTCTGATTTTCAATCAGAAGTAGATACTATGAGGTTCATGACTTAGTGTATGTTCATTTAATGGAAGGGAAATCAGTTGGTAGATTGTTAAGCAGATTTCAACTGCTAACTCAAATCTGCAGGTGGAATACATTGCAGCCTTAAAGGCGGCAAAGGAAGCCTATTGGTTTGATCTCACTGATTTAGAGGTTGTGGAGTATACTAGCCTGCCTATTGAGCTATGTTGCAACAATAGTGCAGAAGTAGTCCAAACCAATAACCCAAGGTTCTATAGAGGAACAACATACACTGAGAGGAAGTATTATGTTCTACATGATATTGTCCGGTAAGAAAATGTACTTGTAGCCAGAACATTGCATTGGAACACAACTTTGTTGATCCATTATCAAAGGTGTCATTGATCAATAATTTTGATCATCATCTGGATAACATTGGTGTTAGGTGCAATTTGAATTGGCTATGAGGGCAAGTGGGAGCTGTTGGGATTTATATGCTCTGGCATACCAAATTCCTATCTGGATTATAGTGACATATGTTCCTGACATATCTGAAATATTTATGATTTATATAACTAGTGAATTCAATGTATTATGTTTCGATTCACTATGAAATTGATAGTGTCCCTATGATTACAAGAAATATTTATATATATATGTAAGTGATAGCAATCAATGCATGATATATAAATAGTAATTATAAATTGTTCATAGTCGGTAATTATGGATGGACTCATAATTAATTCAGACTTGAACTGGATCCGCGTTAGGTTGAGATATATTGCGAGAGCCGTCGTATGCAATTGCTCCCTATCATCGTCATGGCATTTGACTCTTAAGTATGAGAAAATTATAGACTCTTTTATTAATTAATAATTACTTTGATTTGTTCGGCGGATTCTTCAGGATCCTTAGACCGACACTTTGGGTAGTTATGTGATTAATAGTTAGAGGGTTATATTTTCAATATTTGCATCATTGCTACTTGTATTTATTTTGTATTGATTATGGTTGATCACAAAGTAAATTCGAAGGCCTTCGTGTGTTTTTAGACAAAATGATTTATTATATATTTATTTATTTAAATTATTATTTTTGTCAAATAAATGTTTTATTGTGATCGAGCCAGAAATAATCAAAGGTACCAAAATAAATATATTAATTAAGTATTCGGATTGATGGCTTTATTTATCCAATAACTAATTATGCATAGAGGGGTCAAAGTGTAATATTGACTTATAGGTTATTTATTATTTAATTGGAGTTCAATTAATTTCTTTTAGTGGAGTAGAAATTAATTTATGAATTAATTGAATTGGGTCCATGGACCGGGCCAATTATTAATTCATTGTAGCCAATAAAATAATAAGCCCAATGGATTCTCACTCATAGCCCAACTTGATATTGGAATCATATTAGATTTGAGACATGTAAATTAGAGATTGAGAAGGATTCGTTGTTTCCTTTTCTTTACCTTTATGTTGCCTATAAATATACATGGTCTATGTATATTTTGGTGGATGATTTTTAGAAGAAGGAAAAAGGAATTTATTTTCTCTCTCTAGAAAATTAGGGTTTATGTTCTCATCTAATGGAGGCTCCCACAAGCCTAATTTTTCAAGGTCATTCATGGAGGCTTATGAGTGATTCCTAAAGGCAAGACCATTACTAAGAAGATGGAGATCCATGAAAAAGGTGTCTAACAAAAGGGATTTACAATAAGTGAGAACATTCACTTTAGAGGAGAGATTTAAGATTTACTCAAACCTTGATATAAGTATTCAATCTTTTAATTGAATGATACATTATGTTTTATTTTTGCATAAAACTTGTCTATATGTAATGAATCAAGATCTATGAATTAAAATCCCTCGAAAAGTTTTTAAAACTAGCACGTTTCCCAACAATCTGTGTATGCATATACTCCCTCTCACATAAAGTGTCAGTTTGAGAAAATCGTAACTCTCACAAATTGAACTTTTCCCTTAAGACTATTTTTTTTAAAACGAAAATAATACAAAGAGGGTGAAACAGTTGGAGAGAGAGACAAAGTGTTTGAGGGGGCTCCAAATCTGAAACTTCATTAGGTGGCGAATTTCTAGAAAGAAAATGGATCTATTTGCATTAGTGTTTATAACGAATTTTTTTCTATTTATCATTCAATCAACTTTTTTTCTGTCTTGGTCTTTTTAGGTTGAAACTTGCAAACAGTGGTGATAATTTAAAGATCTCTGAAAATGGTGGTACACAGATAGGTGTGGATGGAAATGGGATATGATAATTTAAAGCCCGTTTGATGTTTGGAATCTCTCCCGAACACCGTCTAAATTTTTGTATTAGTTAGGGTTTAATAGAAAAGAGTCATATAAATAAATCCTTAAGGCCCAATATTAAATTTCTGTATTGATTTGAGTTTCATTACAAAACGTGACTAGAGAGAAAAGACAAAAAAATAAAAAATAAATAAATAATTATTTTTAGATATAAATCTTTGGCCAATTTTAAAATAAAACCTGAAAGAGCTTTTTGTTTAGTTTTATATGATAGTCGATCTCTCTCTAATACAATACACCAAGCATCCCAGCTGAAAAGATAGGAAAAATAATAGGAACTCCAAACGGATCTCTAATACAATACACCAAGCATCTCAGCGGGAAAGATAAGAAAAAGAATAGGAACTCCAAAAGGATGTCTTTCTTTTACGCGAATCCAAGCATCATGTGACATTGAGAACATTTAAAATCACTTAATGCAGAAAATCACTTAATGCAAAAATTGGTGTTGTACATCAAAAAGAGGATTACCATTATGACGTGGATAGGATTGATGAAGATAGAAGGCGGAGCTGCATCATGGGTATGAATTATTTTCCTAATATTTCAGGATGAACCTAATCTACATGTTGCAGATGAATGGAAAGCACAGCTCTAATCCTCAAAATGAACTTACCCTTTCTCATGTGAAAAATCAAATAGCTTGAATATAATTCTGCCCGCAAAAAACTAACAAAATTTTTTCTATTCATCACTTCACCATAAATATTGTTTTTTTAAAATTTTCATTAATCTATGAGCTGGACAGCTGCAATGGTAGGTATTTTTTCTCTCAACTTTTGTGTAAGAGCAACACGAACAGTCATAACCCCAGCTGCAGGCCCACTGATTTGGACTTTTACAACATGCTCATTAATCTGAACAAGCTCAAGCACTCCTCCGCCTGTGCCAGCAAGATAAGGTCTTATTTCAGAAAGAACCTGGAAGATATGCAACCAAAAGGGATTAATAAGGTCTTATTTCAGAAAGAACCTGGAAGATATGCAACCAAAAGGGATTAATAACAGAGTAACTTTCCTTGTCATTATGGTAAATAGAGGTCTATTTTGGTATTGCACAGTTCTTGCACTGATGTTTTAGTTACTGGAGAAGTGGAGATTACAGGTATATATCTCCATTGTAAACATATGGAAAAAAAAATAGTAACAAGACAACAATTTCCATTGAGATAAATAATAGTGTAAAAGAAAGGAGGAAGAACAAAGAAAAAATATAAGACATAGGAGGGTTACTGGAATAATGAAGACCTAGAGCCTCACTGGTTTAGTTTTTTTTAGAATAGTTTCTATATTCACATAAGAAAAGAAACCATTAAAAAATAAAAAAATAAAAAAAGAAGCAGCAGAATTGATTTGGTTGACATTTTTTAAACATTGTTCCCTAACAGCTGATTTCGAAAAATGCCAAATTTCAGAAAACAAACTTTTGCAATCTTTGGTAAACTATTAAAATCAAAAGCAACTCATGGATCAAACTACATTAACCGTATCAAGCTTCATGCAGAATCAAAGTAACCTGTCATTCAACTAGCTTATTAGTGTGATGCCATTTTTCTCAAACCTTTGTTGACATGGTGAAGGGTTGGGAAATGTAGATGGGCCTGAGCCGGGCCGGATGCAGCCCAACACACCCGACCGACTGGGCTGCTCACCATCCAAAAAGTCCAAAAGTCAGACCCAATGCATGCGGAGTCTAAAATAGCAAGAATGGGCCTCCATTTGGGTCAATTTGTATAGGCGGACCGCCCCACAAAGGAGGGAGGCCCATCAACCTTCAACTTAGAGAAAGAATATAGGAAATTAGGGTTAAATGTAAACTTCTATAAATAGAAGTAAGAAAGGAAGAAAGAGGCAGATTGTTTGGAGTATAAGAAAATCTTTTTTTAATATAGAACGACATTTTCTTGCATCTTCATTTGACGCCGTCTGTGGGAAAGAAAAGAATGATTCATTGATTTCAGCGACGAATGACACAGCTCCGATCGGAAACTATGATCGGAGAGGAAGGCTCCTCCAGCAGGAAGAAGAGCAACGGGTAAGACATGATGAACTAATGCAGATCGTGAAAACTCTACAGAGGGAGGACGCCGAGCTTAGATCCAGGATGGAACTAAGAGAAGCTCCACTGCTCCTTCACCCACCGGTGGCTGATGAGCGGGTAGGGCTAACGAACGTCAATCGACAGGCAAAGAGGGTAGGATCCGTTCATATAGATACTCAACATAAGATGCTCAGACCGGAAGAGGGGGTGGAACATGTTGAAGCTGTTTCTTCATGGCAAAAATAATCAACTGTACACAAGGTATTTGACAATTTGCACTAGTCAGAGGTGAGCACTAATGACCAGAGGGCCACCGGGAAGAGGTTGTTGGACCAGAAACCACCCCCGATGGTCAATGAGGTTATTCGGATGTCAGCCCGGAGATCGATTCACCCTTTATAGAAGAGATCTTGAGATCTCCGAGACCCGAAAAGTTTTCAATGCCAACATTTACCCTGTTTGACGGAACTAAAGATCCAACCGAGCACGTCTATCAGATTCAACTGAAGATGGCTCTAGATACCGAGGATGATGCCCTAATGTGTAAGGTCTTCCCAACAAGCTTCACTGGGCCTGCACTTAATTGGTTCAAGCACCTGCCAAGAGGGTCAGTCGAAAGTTTTCGGCCACTTTGCGACCTATTCATAGGTCAATATTTCGGTAACTGACGGATTGAGAAGGATATATTGTGTCTGTTCAGTAGGAGGGGGAGCGACTCCAGGCCTTTCTCACCAGGTTTAATTTGGAAATTAGTATAGTGATTGATTGCCATCTGTCATCAGCAGTACATGCGTTCAAACTCGCCATGGTCAGAACGACTCAATTTCACACGTCTTTGGTGGTGGCATCACCTAAGACTATAGACGAACTCAATTCAAGAGCAGAAGGCTACGTATGCCTCAAGGAAGACAAGGCAGTCAATATGAGGAAGACAACAATGGTTATAGTGGAAAACAAATCGAGAGCAAAGATGACCACCCAGAGAACCCCAGTATTACAGTCCCGAGTGACGTCTTGGAAGACCGAAAAGAGACAACGAGATGATGAGATAGTCACCCCCCTTACGGTCACTTTGGCACGACTGTATCAAGAGAATAAAGAGATGTTCCAACCGCCTGAACCAATCAGACAGTTGATCGAACAAAGAGATCAATCCAAGCACTGCGCATTCCATAGGAGAGGTTCCCGAGCACGAAAATCGTCCCGACTTCCGAAAAATTCTAAAAATAGTCTCATCACTTCTAAATGACTTAAAATAATTAAAAATGCATTTCTAAAACTCATGGCTCAAGAAAATAACTTAAACAACCCTCAGGGCCCACGTGACAAGCAAAACGAGGCATAAAAAATAAATTAAATAAAAATTCGAAAAAATTGATAAATATCCGGAACATTACATACTACTAGTAGAATTACAGCATTAGTTGATTTAATTTCTGTTCACTCCTCCGTTATCTATGTACTCTCATCGTTAACATGAATATGAAAAAAGGAAGAATAGGCCTATTATTAAAGAGAGAGGCTTGTCGAACCCAAAAGTGAAGTGGCAAGTGGCAGCGTAGCCAATCGCCAAACACTTAGAAAATTTTCAAACAAAAATAAAGTGGCAATTGGCAGAGTAGCCCAGCGCCAAACACTTAGAAAATTTTCAAACAAAAACAAAAGTGAAGTGGCGAATGGCAGTGTAGCCGATTGCCAAACACTTAGAAAATTTCATTACAAAAAGTGAAGTGGCAAGTGGCAGAGTAACCAATCGCCAAACACTTAGAAAATTTTCAAACAAAAAAAAAATTGAAGTGGCAAATTGCAGTGTAGCCGATCACCATACACTTAGAAAATTTCATTACAAAAAGTGAAATCTTATCACAGAAAGTGAAGTGGCAAGTGGCAAGTGGCAAGTGGCAAGTGGCAGAGTAGGCAATCGCCAAACACTTAGAAAAGTTTCTAACAAAAACACTTGACAAAATTCGAGAAAAAGTTAAGGAACTTTAGACTTAACAAAAACCTTCTATTATTAATCAATTTAGAGTACAAAGTTTTCCCCTCTCTTCAATTACATTTCAAATAAAAAAAAATAAAAAGGGGGGGGGGGGGGGGGAAATGAAGAAGGAACAAAAAAGTAAAGTAAAGTTTAAAAAAAAAATGCCCTTGAACTTAGGCCTCATCCTCTATAATCTCCACCTCAGACCCAGAGGCAGAAGGAGCTTGAGTAGGAGGAGCAGGGGCAGGAGCAATTCCATCTTTTCCAGTAGAAGGATGAGGAAGGGTCAGAGAGCCAGCTGCAACTGCGACTACTTTCTTGCACCTAGCAAAGACCTCCTCGAGCTCATCAGGAACAGGATCCCTGTAAGTACTGGGAGGATCGATCTTCAAGTCCTGATCACAGTCCTCAGGGCTATTGTACGCACTGCCCAAATCGGTCGGATTGTTGCTATCCATGAATCCATCCCTGTAGCCGTTGGCATACCAAAACAGCCCCAATCGGGAGAACCGTTCGTGCCTAGCATTCTTTCCAGTCTCCACTCTGCCTAAAGAGCTCAAGGAGACAAACTCTCTCCCCATTTAGCTCATCATTCTTCTGCTCTAAGGCCACCCAAGCAACCCTTTCTGCCACAAGTTAACCAACCAATTCGGCCCGTGCGTTGTCAACAGCAGTAAACTTCTCTTCGGCCAGTCGGGCCCGATTTTCAACATCTTTCAGATCCTCCTCATCTTTCTTTATTCGGGAGGCGAGCCGACTGATCGTTTTGTCACCCTGCTCAATCGTCCTCTACATGGCAACAATACCAAACAAGGTCTGCAAGGCCAATAAAGGCATCTAAAGAGTTAAAATGAATAAGTTAATGGGTTAATCCCCAAAAAAGAGTACACAAAAAATAAAAGAGATAAGGGGTATAGGCATACCTCAACTGCACCGAGGGGGATCCGACTGAACATCTCCTCCTTACTGAGCTTGGTCTGAGCCTCCAAGTCCATTGGAGTCCACAGATTGTGGTAGTAAGCCAAAGCAATGGGCCCATCCTTGTACATGGTATCATTAATAGACACCATGGAACCGTCATCCTTAAGGAATTCTGGCTTGAAGGGGATAGCAGCTTCCGCATTGCGAGCAGGGACACTAGTATCTTGGGGAGGTTCGTCTGAACGGCGCTCCCTGATCACTATCCCCTGGTTCCCTCTTCGCCTCAGACTTGAACCTCCATCATCTTCCCCCTCATCTCTCTACTGTCCTCTTGCCCTTAGACTTCACAGAAGCAGAAGAAGAGGACACAATGGCTTGAGTAGGGGCAGAATGGACCGGATGGGCAAGCAAAGCATCAGTGTTAGCAGTCACGGATATGTCATTCTTCTTTGTCCTGCCAAAAGTGGGTATCGAAGTATCCTTCATCAGTGGTGGACCTGCTGCAACAACAATCCTCCTCAAGGCCTCTTCAGATAAGAAAGTGAGGGCAAAAGGAACGTTGTTCCAAATAGACGACTGCAAAATCCTAAGCCTCACTCTGCAAATATTGAAATCAAATAGATCAGAAGAGAAACCCAGATGATGGGAAAGGAAGCCACAAAAATATGGAAGACAAGTTTGACACGTGCATTCATATAGGTGAGTCTTGTAAGGAGAAAAAGTAGGGAGGGCACTCATCCTGAACTCCTTGGGAATGGTAGGTAAGGGGGTCCGAGGAGACTTCGAATTACCCCCTATGACAATTGGATTTTTCTTCTAATTTTTGTTTCTGGTCGGTTATAGGATGGAGATGGTACCAGACACTGGTTTTACTAGTCCTAATTACTTTGTAGCAAAACAGAAGGTCAAACGTATCTATCTGCAGACCCCAATCTAGATTTAGAAGTATCAAAATGAATATTATCCTATAGAAGTTAGGATTGACCTGAAGTATGGCCAACCCTAGGACATTGAGGACCTAATGGAATAAAGAGTGAAGAGGGAATCTAACCTCACACAGTTGGGACGCAGTGAACAAAATCTCATTGTTTTCAAAGCCCTCCCGGTGCTAGCACCTTCCTCGTCGAAATAAAGACGAGTAGTGACATCATCAGGGATATTACAACGAACGCGAAGGGCGTCGATGTCAAGACCTATGGTAGTGGAAATAAGAGTGAAAAAAAGAAGAAGATTGCAAAACTAACCTTGAAAATGAAGGGAACAGAAAGACAGAGGAGATCGCCGGAAAATTAAACTCTCGCCGGAGGGAAACTTAAAGACTAGAACACGGGAATGATGAAGACAGTGCTTGACAGTGACAAAAGAGGAAAATGACCAAAGTCATTTCAAATTTATAGAAGCAGAAGACGATCACGTGGGGAGATCAGGAGTCAAAGCAATCACGATGATTCGGGAACTGAAACACATTAACAAGGCTCGGCCGTACACATTCTCCCACACCGTCACATCCAACCACAACCCACGTCGCCATCACTACATATTAATCTCGCCCTAATCATTATGGCGAAATTAAAGGGGCAGATGAAAGGTTGGGAATTGTAGGTGGGCCTGAGCCGGGCAGGATGCAGCCCAACATACCTGACCGACTGGTCTGCTCCCCATCCAAAAGGTCCAAAAGTCAAGTCCAATGCATGAGGAGTCTAAAAAAGCAAGAACGGGCCTCTATTTGGGTCAATTTGTATAGGCGGACCGCCCCACAAAGGAGGGAGGCCCATCAACCTTCAACTTAGAGAAAGAATATAGAAAATTAGGGTAAATGTAAATTTCTATAAATAAAAGTGAGAAAGGAAGAAAGAGGCCCATTGTTTGGAGTGTAAGAAAATATTTTCCTAATATAGAACGTCATTTTCTTGCATCTTCACATGGCAAAGCAAATTTCTGTCATCCAACTAGAATGCAACATGTTATCCACAAAACAGAGGTGTTCAATCAACTTCTTGGCTATTGCTTCTTTTTTTTCTTTTTCTTTTTTTAAGTAATTTTGATGCCGACCCGACGTAATTGGGAAAAGGGCTTGGCTGCTGTTGTTGTTTCATGATGCAAGTGAAAGCCAAAGTTTTCCTTTGTAAAGTCATTGCAATTTATGAAGTGTTATATGGTGGGAGAGGACAAAATTCTAATTCTGCATTTACTGCCTGACGAATCGAACTCATGGAAATGGAATACATCATATACAGAAACTTAATGATTTGTCTAACCTTTTCAACATTCTTCTCATTTAACTCAAGCCCAGTCTCAGTGTCGAGAATTTGTTCCACTGCTTGTATCTCGGGGATCTTATCCCGGAGGCGAGTTTCAATTCCCATCTTTAGAGTCATAGTTGAACTTGGACAAGAGCCACATGCTCCTTGTAGCTTCAATACCACAACAAGACCGTCAAGCTCGTGTAGAGCCACATTCCCTCCATCAGCCATTAGTCCAGGCCGGACTTCATCCAACACTTTCTCAACATTCTCCTCAGTTAATGGAAGGACACAGCTTGGTGAAACCAGAATGCCTTCAACAGTATCAGAGAGGCAGAGCAAATAATAATAAAATAATGCTATCTCGTTGCTGATAGAACTCAAATAAATTCAGTGAATTTGTGGGTGGGTTCCAATTATATACGAAATAGATGTATTATAATATTCGTTCTTAATTTGCATATCGAATTTGGAACCAACCCAACAACTCGTTTAACCCAACTACCTAAACCTTAGGGAGCTAAGATATTGAATTTGGACAATTTTTTATTACTATATTTTTTTTCCCCAACAACCAAACAGATCGCATGTCTTTTGCTTTGCAACGAGTACATCAGCAAAATCCCCAACCCAAAACCGCTGCTAGTAATACCTAGCTAGTTGTCATTTTCAGTACCGAGTTATTTTCAAACGAGCGGATAAAAAACATATTAGCATAGAAAGTATTACGAATCCTACAATATGGCTGAAATGCGTAATTGTTTTCTCTTTGAACTGAAAATTCATCTGGAATAAACAATTTCTTATTAAATCAGTTACCTGCCCGTTTCCTACTATCGCGAATCGAATTGAATCCAAGGAAGTGCCTGGGATGATATTGACCTCTGATAAAAGGGTTACGTTTTGCTGAAAAAGTAGTGAAATCTGAAATGGGATTCTAGAGAAAGAAATATCACAATTCCGAGTCAGAAAATATCATTAATTATATAGAAATGCCAGAATTTACAAAAGAGTTAAAAAAAGATATATAGTTATGTATTAGTGGTTGGACTTAAATGAGTACCTTGGGGAGAGAAAAATGGGTAAGAGAAGACTGTTCGGATGAATGAACAAACATTGATGAGGCTGGTGCTGATTTGAGACCTTGGGTTGGGGTTGAGATTGCGTCCATGTTTGTAAGGTATTGTTTCTATTCAAGTACTGTGATGGGGAGTGGGATATATAGAAACCAACTGGCAGTGTATTTTCAGTCGGTGATGGATGGATGAGAGTTGTTTATTTTGGCCGATGAAACGACCAAGATGATCCAAAAAAGAAAAAGAAAAATAATAATAATAATAATGAGGAATTTAAAGTCTTCACAAGAGGAAAGCATTGCAATTGGATTGGATTGGATGAGATTCAGAGTGATCCACAAAACTTGAGTTTGTGGATAGAAAAATAATGACAAAAAAAATAAATAAAAAAAAATGATGATATTATACAGTAAGCTGGGCCTGATTGCCTCAAATGGGTGGATGAAGAGGAAACCACGTCATCACATGGGAAATTGCATGCAAATACAACTTTTGCATTGGTTAGTCACCTAGTCAGAACCGAAGCCGCGCAGAGTGAGAGCATTTTTTTAAAATGCAGATTTATTCTTCACATTTTTAATTTTTTCATATAAAAAAATGGATTAATTATACGCATACCTCCTGAAATTTGTTATATTGACAATCATACGATAATTAGTTTATTTTCGAACAATGACACCCTTGTCATATTTTGGAGCCAAACAAAGCCTTAAAAGAAGTGAAATGTCTACTTTTACCCTTTAATATTTTATTCATATTTTGATCTAAAATATCAAAACCATTATGTGACCAAAATACCCTTCTTAGGAAAAAAAAAAAAAAAAAAATTTAACCCATATATCCTACTTTCTCCCTCTAACCTCTCAATCTCCTCAATTGCCACCGCCACCACCACCCACCTCTTCACCACCACCACCTCCATCACCGTCCACCCATTCCCTCTCCACTCATCGCCACATCCGTTCGCCCTATATATAATTCATCTTGCTCCTGCAAAAAAAGCTTATATTATATGTATGCATATATATATCCACACACACACACACACATACATATACCCACCATCACCATGGCCACTCCTATCTCCTCCCACCGTGCCCACCTTCTATCCATTCTTACACTACCCATCATCACCACAACCCACCCCTTCTCTCTCCTTCTCCACTAAATCCACCCTAAATCGATGTCACCGGCTTTGCGCAGCACCACTGTCTCCGTCTTCCTCCTCCTCCTCAGTGTCACCGGGCGATTGTGAATTTTGTTGTAGCAAAGAAATATTGCTAATCGAAATTTTGGGTAAGTATTGGTGGCCCAAGTTGTGTCGAAACTGTTGGTGGTGGTGGAGTAATCAAGCGTATCTTATGGAATTAAAGATCACGGATGAACGTTTGTCTCCAACTTTCAGCCATTATTATTGGATTGGGTTTTGCAATTAGGTGCTAAGATTATTGATTTCCCCGGCGACTCCACCGCTGCCATCTTAGGCGTTCATATGCAGTACGTTTCTGACGGTGGGTGGGTGATTTTTGATTTTTGATTTTTTTTTTTATCTCCTTTTTGTATCTATTATATATTTAAGTATCATTTTCTGTGTAGTTATATATATATATATATATATATATATATATATAGATATAGATATATATATAGATTGTATAATGCAATTGTATGTATTATATGTATATATAAGAGTTGATTTGTATACTCCCAAATGCCACTCACCATCGTTCACCTTCTTCACACATAACATTTTATTATTATTATTTTTGAATCAATGGGCTTTGGATTTTGCAAAGATGATGATGTTGAAGGTTGGTGATAAGAGTCAATTTTTGTGGCTAAAGAAACTGGTCTTGACATTTAATTACACGCAATGGTTTCACTTGATATGTTTTTTCTCTCTCACACACACACACATATATTGCTTCTAGTTCTTTGTTTTTGTGGATTCATTAAACCTAAATCAAGTTCATTGTTGGGCATAGTGTATATATATAGAGAGACATTATAGAGGGTTAGTTTTGTCCATTAAAATAATTAGAAAGGTTAAAATGATAATTTTAATATTCAAATTGGTCAATTCAAAAGTCAAAGGGTAATAGGGTCAATTTATCTTGTATAAGAGGTGATAGGGGTGTTATTGTTAACTTTATCAAATCAAATGAGGTGTCATCGTTAAAAAATGGGCCAACTTATATATGGCTGTCATTATGTCAAACCTCAAGGGGTGTCGTCGTAATTAACCCCAAAAAAATTATAGCATATTTTTTATTTTTTAAAAAAGGGTTAAGTGCAAAAACCCCCCTGATATATAGGGTTTGTGCAAAATTAGTCCATATTTTTTGAAAATGTGCATGTTAGCCCATAAAATTTAACAAATGTGTAAATAAGCTCGTCTGACCACTTTTTGATAAAAACTAAATATGAAAACCCTGTTTTACTTTAAACGAAAAAAAAAAAAAAAAAAAACCCCATTTTACCATTTTGATTCCCATTTTGCCCCTCACGTATACATGCATATAACCCCCACACCCGTTCCTCTCTCTCTAGGGTTAGAAAATGGTTAAGTGATTAAGTCGGTTTTTGATTCTTTCGACTAGTGAGTCGCCCCAACGTCTTGCTAGAGACGTTAAACACTAGTTTTTCGTTGATTTGAATAAATAAATAAATTGCATTTTATTTTTATTTTATTTTTTTTTCCGTTTGTACATCTATGCATTTTTAAATTCAAAAAGAAAAATAAATAAATAACAAAATAAAATAAAAAATGTTGTGATGGGTAGTTTAGGTTAGTATTTGATTTTATTATAATTTTTAGTACTATTATTTATTTTATTTTATTTTATTTTATTTTTGATTTTATTTTTATATATATTTCATTTTAGTATATATATTTTTCGTTTTGCTTAAATTAAAAAAAAAAAAATTTTAAAAAAAAAGAGTAAAAAAAAATAGTACTAGTTCATATAGGTTGCTTTGTAATTTTATTTATTATTATTTATTTTATTTTATTTTATCTATATTAGTGTATATAGTATTTTTAATTTTTGCTTAAAAAAAAAAAAAAAAAAAAAAAAAAAAAAAAAAAAAAAAAAAAAGGATCGATCCCTAAAATGGGTGGGAAATCGATCTCATTTTTCTGACACAGACTAGCAAAAAAAAAAGGTCACGTGGATCGATCCCCAAACCAAGGGGATCGATTCCCTACCAATTTATCACATTACACAGTGAGAGGAGAACTTTCGGCATAAAAATATCGATCCCCAAGTAAAGGAGATCGATCCCCATTCATTCCCTGCCTTACCTTATCTCTGAACCCAAATCCAAACTCTCCAGTTCTTCGACCATCTCTCTCTGTTCGATCCTCTCTTCCACGTTGTTGACGGTTCAACGGCGATTTTGATTTCCAGCGTCCCTGTTCAACGGCGGTTGCTGCTGGGTCTTTGTGGCACCATGGTTCTAGGTTGCCGAATTTGAGGGTCGCCGAGTTCTCCAGCGAAATTAAAATAAAATTTCTATTATACTCAAGGGTTTCAAATAATAATAATTTTGAAATAAGTAAGTTTTTTTTTTTTAATTGAAAGAAGTAGATTTTCATTCTCTATCAACTACTATATGAACTAAATAGGTAAAATTTTTAATATTAATAACAGAAGTATTATGAGTAGAGAATTATCATGAAAAAACCCAAGAGAAGAAAAGCAGAAGTAAGCCTTGTTGGGAAACGTGCAAGTTTTAAAAACTTTTCGAGGAATTTTGATTCATAGATCTTGATTCATCACATAGAGACAAATTTTACGCAAAAATAAAAATATGATGTATCATTCAATTAACAGATTGAATACTTACATCAAAGGTCTGAGTAAACCTTTAAAACTTTCCTCTAAAGTGAATGTTCTCACTTATTGTAGATCCCTTAGCAAGATGCCTTGTTCTTGGATCTCCATCTTCTTGGTAATTGTTTTGCCTTTAGGAATCACTCATAAGCCTCCATGAATGACCTTGGAAAACTAGGCTTGTGGGAGCCTCCATTAGATGAGAACATAAACCCTAATTTTCTAGAGAGAGAAAATAAATTCCTTTTTCCTTCTCATTAAAAATCACACCCTAAAATATACATAGACCATGTATATTTATAGGCAACATAAAAATAAAGAAAAGGAAACAACAAATCCTTCTCCATCTCTAATTCATATGTCTCAAATCTAATATGATTCCAATATCAAGTTGGGCTATGAGTGAGAATCCATTGGGCCTATTATTTTATTGGCTACAATGAATTAATAATTGGCCCGGTCTATGGACCCAATTCAATTAATTCATAAATTAATTTCTACTCCACTAAAAGAAATTAATTGAACTCCAATTAAATAATAAATAACCTCTAAGTCAATATTGCACTTTGACCCCTCTATGCATAATTAGTTATCGGATAAATAAAGCCATCAATCCGACTACTTAATTAATATATCTATTTTGGTACCTCTGATTATTTCTGGCTCGATCACAATAAAACATTTGTTTGACAAAAATAATAATTTAAATAAATAAATATATAATAAATCATTTTGTCTAAAAACACACGAAGGCCTTCGAATTTACTTTGTGATCAACCATAATCAATACAAAATAAATACAAGTAGCAATGATGCAAATATTAAAAATATAACCCTCTAACTATTAATTACATAACTACCCAAAGTGTCGGTCTAAGGATCCCGAAGAATCTGCCGAACAAATCAAAGTAATTATTAATTAATAAAAGAGTCTATACTTTTCTCATGCTTAAGAGTCAAATGCCATGACGGTGATAGGGAGTAATTACATACGACGGCTCTCGCAATATATCTCAACCTAACGCGGATCCAGTTCAAGTCTTAATTAATTATGAGTCCATCCATAATTACCGACTATGAACAATTTATAATTACTATTTATATATCATGCATTGATTGCCATCACATACATATATATAAATATTTCTTGTAATTACATAGACACTATCAATTTCATAGTGAATCGAAACATAATACATTGAATTCACCAATTATATAAATCATAAATATTTCAGATATGTCAGTAACATATGTCATTATAATCCAGATAGGAATTTGCTATGACAGGGCATATAAATCCCAACAGCTCCCACTTGCCCTCATAGCCAATTCAAATTGCACCTAACTCCAATGTTATCCAGATGATAATCAAAATTATTGATCAATGACACCTTTGATAATGGATCAACAAAGTTGTGTTCCAATGCAATGTTCTAACTACAAGTGCATTTTCTTGCCGGACAATATCATGTAGAACATGATACTTCCTCTCAGTGTAT